GCCTGCAGACTGTGTTCTGATGATTCTGTAGTGTAGGTCTGCAGACTGTGTTCTGATGATTCTTCAAAAATGCAACAGAATAAAAACTTATAAAACATCTATGGGAAATTTAGACTGTGGACCAGATATTGGAATTACAAAATGATGAGTTTTATCAAGTATACTAGCTTACAATTATTTGGATCATAACATTATTGCTGAGATATTTGGGGAAGAAATGTATAACAAACTTCTGAATGGAGCGAAGGAGAGAAGGAAGACAAAAATGCTGTGAAACATTTACATTTTTATTTTTATCCATAAATTAGCTAAATTAATTGAAAATTCATAGTTCACATAGGGCACATATGGGGATTCATAGTACTGTTCTTTTAATTTCATGTCTATACAGTACTTTCAAAATGAAAATTAGGATATCAATAATTGTAATCTCTATTAACTAGTTTACCTATGATAGATATATTACTTGGTAAAGCTTTTTTCAAAATGAATTCATTAAACTTTGGCAAATATAAGGAAAATGAGCTTTTGGCTAATAATGTTTTGACTCTTTAGAAAATAAATTGTGAACAGCTGTTAAATCATATCATCACAGGTCCTTCATTTCCTTGATTTGTCCTGGAATATTTTAAGGTTTTTAGAAATATTAGCAGACTATAACACACAGTAAGACCTACAGCCTGTTAAAGTTAGTGCTGTAAGAGAATACTACCCGTACTCGGAGAAGCAGTTCTGTGGCCACGTCCACCTTCTGACTGAGGAGCTCCTGCAGGCGCAGAATTGACCCTTGATGCTGCGCGATGGTCCTGCTTTCCAGATCACATGATGGAGTTTCCAGTAAAATTAACTTCAGCTTCTCAATCAACTGAAATGTAAGGAATATTTTTCATGTCAAAGGGACATGGAAAGGGGATGGCCCATCACTTTCAGATCAAGGAGAGAAATCCTTCCCCGACTTCTGTAATTTAAGATCACAGAGAAAGAAAACATTTCTTCCAAAGAATTCCCTTGAGCATTTCCAACCATGTGGGCACAAAGCTCTCAGTAACCAGCTCAGAGAAGAATGCTGTTTGCCACCACCCCAGACCAAATGATGGCGTCTCAAGCCATCTTCTTGGATTGTTGTCACTGAACAAGACTGTGGATTTTCCTCAGTGCTGGGGAAGAAGAAACCAGTTTGTTTTCACAATGACCCAACTGCAGCTGCGTTTGAGTTTATGCCAGCGTGGTGACTCTCCGGAGGGTAGGTGAACACTGAGTGAGTAGGTGATGTTGGGGTGGAGGTGTTCACGGCACCCTCAGCCCTGAGGGGTGATTTCACCCTGCTGACATCGTGGTGCCTCCCTCCTCAACCCCCTTAATGGTGGGGTTCAGAGAACCTCCCAGTTGGTGAACACATCAAGCTGCTAAGCATGCAAAACACCCAGAGAACTCATGAAATCATTTCAACCTTCCTCACATACTGTGCCCTGTGCGCTACTTCATCCAGCTGCTTATACCGGATATAAGTACCAGTTTTCTATGTTTGGTGAGCCATTATAATAGAGTACCTCATCCAAGAGAGTTAGGGGATCCCTGTTTAGAGTTGGTTGTTCAGAAATAGAAGTAACCTTGGGGATGGCTGGAAGGCATGCATAGATAGGCTAGTGGATCAAACCCTTAACACATGGGGACTATGCTATCTCTGGGTAGTTAATGTCAAAATTCAACTGTAGACACCCCGTTGGTGTCAAGAGGTAGAAAATTAGTTGGGGTGTGTGTGTGTTCTATATACATTTGGTGTGTGTGTGAGGGGGTTTTTATACACACTAGATGTATGGGAGGTTCCACATAATTAGGTATATGTGCAGTTCTGTATGTATTTGGTGTGTGTGTGAGAGGTGTGTGGGGTGTTAGAATGTTCTAAGTCTTTATCTTTTCTTAGAATTTGCTGGGCTCCATGCATTAGAGGTTCCTATCTTTCAGTTCTGGGTGACGGTCAACTTTGTTTCTTTAAATATCACCTCACTCCTACTCTGTACTGGCTTTGGATATCCCTGCCCATATCCCATCCCACCCTCCTCCACCCCGGGTTGGCTGCTCTTCATCTTTCCATCCGTCACGCTGCTGTATGCTCACAGTCTTTCAATGTGACTTCTGATTTCTTTGTGGTTAAGAAGTCTCAATGCATATGTATAAATATGTATATATATGTATGTATAAATTTATACATATGCATTGAGACTTCTAAAAATGATCAAAACATATTTCCTGATCTTCTACAGATGTACTTGCTCCTATCTTTCATAGTTTGAGGTTTCCAGCCACACTAGTCCATTTCATTCTCATCACGGCTTTAGGTTGTGATGGCCTCTAAAGGAGTGGGAGCCACTAGGGATTCATGGATAGATAGTACAGTATCCATCTGAGATTCCAAAGGCTTCCAGAGTCTTCTATTGCCTAATGGATCTCACCTATTTCTTTAATGAAACAGTATACTTATTAATTTTTTTCTCAGTGTTTTTCTTAGATGAGTCCATGCATCCTATGTGCAGACGCAGAAGTTAGGATACTGTTCCATTTTCACCTTCACTAAGAGGGTAAATCTGAACAAGGCACAATGATGTGGATAAAACTACCACAGGGAGAGCCATTAGCCCATACATTAAAAAGGTAATGGGGGAGCCATTAGCCCATACATTAAAAAGGTAATGGGGTGTGTGGTGGGAGAAGAGCGCCACGCCTGGGAGGATCCCAACATCTCTCAAGAACACTCTCCAGTGAACTCACTTCCTTCCACTAGAACCCACTCCTGAACGCCCTAGCAACTCACTAGGGAGCACCACGGGCTTTGGGGAGCATTTACAACCCAAACCACAGCAACAGTTGTCAGGTGGGAATTAAAGACCCCAGTGCCTCCAGACCAGCCATATAAATTCAAACCATGTCATGGCTTGCCTCTGTGAGATGGAGTGGTAAATGCTGTGTTTACGTCTTGCTTTGGGAGGTGGACTGTGAGAGAATGCATGGCTTAGGAGTAGCCACGTTGACTGGTTTGGAGCCGACAGCCTGGCGTACTTACGGACAGCACCAGTTTGCTTTTCTCAATCACTTGCTCGAAGGTCTCATTCGTCTCCTCTTCCCACAGGCTAATGAAAGTGTTCATTTCCTGGGCAATCGAAGGATCAGGGCTCCCATCACACTGGAGGTAGTGCTTCCACTGAGGATACAAATGTGTGAGGGTCACACTCACAAAGATACAACCAAAGAGGAAATCAACTTTTAAAAACTGGGGGTTTTGCCGGGCGGTGGTGGCACACGCCTTTAATCCCAGCACTTGGGAGACAGAGCCAGGCAGATCTCTGTGAGTTCGAGGCCAGCCTGGGCTACCAAGTGAGTTCCAGGAGAGGCGCAAAGCTAGTCAGGGAAACCCTGTCTCAAAAAACCAAAACAAACAAACAAACAAACAAAAAAAAAAACCTGGGATTTTAGCCAGCTGGGGTAGCACAGCACTCAGAAGCAGGTGGATCTAGCCTGGTCTACAGAGTTCCAAGACAGAAAGGGCTCCACAGAGAAGCCCTGTCTCAAAAAACAAAACAAACAAAAGTGGTTTTATTGGGGGAGGGGAACATTCACACGCCACCACGTGCGTGTGGAGGTCAGAGGACAACCTGCGGGAGCCAGTTATTGCTCCATCAGCCATGTGGGTCCTAAGGACAGAATCCCGTCATCAGGCTTGGTGGCAAACTTATTTATCCACTGAGCATCTCACCAGTCCCCAAATTGCCCTTTTGGAAGTCCAAAGCCTCAACCTAATAGCCACAATTTACACAAAAATGATGGATGATGTTTACCAGTAACTTGATATAAAATATACAACCAGCCAAAGAAACCAACTACAACAGCCAGGTCCTCTGTCCCCTCCACACACACTCACTTCTCACTCTGTAGTCCTGGATGGCACGGAGCTCCCCATGTAGACCAGATTGGCCTTGAACTCACACAGTTCCCCCTAAAGCGGTGAATAAAGGAGTGCCACACACCCAGCCCATTAGATTCCTTTTCATCTAAATAATTTCCAACCCCCATTGTTCAGTGGGGCACTGTGGTGGTATTCTAATTGTACTGAAATGTGATTTTAATTGTATATTAATAAATAAAGTTGCCCAGGGGTCAGAGCTATTAGAGCCATAGCAAGAGTGTGGCGGTGGTGGCACACGCCTTTAATCCCAGCGCTTGGTAGAAGAGCTAGGTAGATCTCTGTGTGTTCAGGGATACAGCCAGCATTGGAGACATACGCCTTTAAGACCTGGGGGGCTGTACATTCAGACAGTGACGAGGCAGTCACGTGTTTGGGTTTACAACCAATGAGAAGGCAGAACAAAAAGACTATGAAAAGACATACACACTGGAAGTAGCTCTCTTTCGGGAAGCTAGGAGCACCGCAGGAGGAAGGGTGAGATTTTTAGCTCTGAGCTCTGACCTCTTGGCTTTCTCTTTTACATTGGTTCTGTGTTTCTTATTTAATAAGATGGTTGGTTACATCTACAGGGCACAAATTCTATTTACTTTCATGTTTGTTTTGAGGTCATATGTGGTGGTATTGTGTTCCCCAAAATATTGTGCACCCTAATAAACCTATCTGGGGTCAGAGAACAGAAAAGCCACTAGATACTTAGGATAGGCAGTGGTAGCACATGCCTTTAATCCTACCATTCCAGAGGCAGAGATCCCTCTGGATCTCTATGTGTTCAAGGATACAGCCAAGCATGGTGACTCACGCCTTTAATCCCAGGGAGTGGTGGTAGAAAGAAGAAAGGTATATAAGGCTTGAGGACCAGAAACTAGAAGCATTTGGCCTGGTTAAGCATTTGGCTGGTTAAGCATTTGGCTGGTTAAGCTTTTAGGTTTTGAGCAGCACAGTTCAGCTGAGAACCATTCTGATATGAGGACACAGAGGCCTCCAGTCTGAGGAAACAAGATCAGCTGAGAAGTTGGCCAGGCGAGGTTAGCTGTGACTTGTTCTGCTTCTCTGATCATCCAGTATTTCACCCCAATACCTGGCCTCAGGTTTGATTTTATTAATAAGACCTTTTAAGATTCATGCTAGATCTGGTGCCCAACATTCGTGGTACGAATTCATGAAAAAGCTGCTTGTCTATGGCCTTGTGGGCTCCTGCTCAGACCCGAGCTACCCTCAGCCAGTTGTGGTGGATCACGCTGGTTGGATTTACTGAAGAAGGCAGAGGCAGGAGGATCCCGAGTTTGAGGCTGGCCTAGGAGGCTTGGGAGAAGCTTCGGCCCAGACGGAACTACAAAACGGTGGTGGGACCATGGAGGCAGTGGCTGCTACTCCAAGTTGCCAGCTCCTTCTCATCCTGTTGGTGACTGCGGTGATGCTGCTACCTGGGACAAAGGGTTTACTACTGCTTGTTCAGAGGAGAATTGCCAGAATTGCTGTGAAGATATTGTCTTCTAGGGAAGAACATTCATGGTTCCGAGAGACAGACAGACATCAGGCTGCAATTGTTCCAAACCACAGAGGAGGTTAAAAAAAAAAATTCTAAAGGGAACCATGACCACGCCTTTGGAATCTTCAAAAGGATGATAGGATCCCACAATGATGATTCCACATGGACTATGGTAAAGCCATTAAGCTGATTAACACCACGGAAAGATTGACTTTGGAGTACAAACTGCTTAGGACAATTTCGAGATGGCTAGCTGAGATGATCCAGCCTGACAGACTACTCGAACAAGGACTTGAGACAAGCCCTGCACTTTCCCAATATGCAAAGACTGAACCAATGATACAGGACTTGACAATTAACCCCAAAATTTTCTTTTCAGGATTCTCTAAAGATGTCTTCACCCCCCGCCCAGAAAGCAGGAAGTAATTTTAAGAAATGACACCCACATTCCCAAGAGGTGGGATGGGAGGTTTTTGGTTGTTTGATGAGTTATGGATATTGTCATTGTTTATGATGGTTGGTTACAAGTTGTTAATTGTTAATGGTAAGGAAAAAAGCTAAACATGGAGATGAGAGTCAGAGGTTTTGTTTAAGAAAGAAAGAAAAAAGAGAAAAGAATATAGATATGAGATAGATCACTGAATCTATTCTGAAAAAAAGATAAAGAATAATAGGATAAATGGGTAGATCACTGAATTTATACTAAAAAGAAAAAGAGAAAGATATAAAAATGACAAAAGGTAGATTACTGAATCTATTATGAAAAGAAAAAATACTTTTAAAAGGAATTACTTGTTTTAAATAAGATCAGTAATGAATTTTTTTTGTCTGAGTTTATCAAATGTTACTGGACTGGACATTGTTAATATATATAATGGAGTTTTTTGACTATATATTGTATATACTTATTAGATAGTTTTTCTTGTATCAGTTATAAGCTTTTTTTTTAAATTTTAGACAAAAAGAGAGGAAATGTGGTGGTATTGTATTCCCCAAAATATTGTGTACCCTAATAAACCTATCTGGGGTCAGAGAACAGAAAAGCCACTAGATACTTAGGATAGGTAGTGGTAGCACACGCCTTTAATCCTAGCATTCCAGAGGCAGAAATCCATCTGTTCAAGGATACAGCCAAGCATGATGACTCACGCCTTTAATCCCATGGAGTGATGGTAGAAGGCAGAAAGGTATATAAGGCTTGAGGACCAGAAACTAGAAGCATTTGGCTGGTTAAGCTTTTAGGTTTTGAGCAGCACAGTTCAGCTGAGAACCATTCGGATATGAGGACACAGAGGCCTCCAGTCTGAGGAAACAAGACCATCTGAGAAGTTGGCCAGGCGAGGTTAGCTGTGGCTTGTTTTGTCTCTATGACCATCCAGCGTTTCACCCCAATAACTGGCCCTGGGTTTGATTTTATTAATAAGAACTTTTAAGATTCCTGCTACAGTCATGTGAGCAGTTTGTTTTCTGTCTAATCCGTGTTTACCTGTAAATTGAGGCTTGTTCAATCTCCTCCTCGGTTATCTCTGATTGACAGGTACCTCTGATGTTTTAGGAGCCTTTCACCATGCTGTCCATGTAAACTTTGCATGTCATCACATGATTTTAAACTCTAGACATCATTTCCTGTTTCCTGCTTCATTTCCCACTGGACTTGTAAAACTTGCATCAGTTCCGAAGTTATGATATCTGATCAAACTAAATTTCCTGACACATTTTTTATATTTTATTTATTTATTAAATATTTACTTTGTGTATGTGTGTGTCTGTCTGTGTCTTTGTCCACATGTGGTGGCCAGAACCCAGGGCTCACACTGGGACAGGCTAGAAGCCCACAAACTCTAGTGATCCTCTGGTCTCCTCTTCTTCCTCTCTGAGCTGGGATTACATGTGCTTGCAGAGGATGCTGGTCTTTTCGGTTCCAAGCTTATGATTACGGTCAAATGCTCCTAACCACCAAATGGTCCTCCAGCCCCTACACTTATATATTTTAATTCATGATTATTTCCTCAAAACAGGCATACTTCAGGGGGGGATTGCAGATTGGCTTCCAAGTGAATCACATGAACGTTTGGTTTCCAGTATGTATCAAAGTCATACTTATTTATACTCCCCACTGTGGTCTAGTAAGGATGTGACACTCATCTACACACACAGTTATACACATAAAAATAAATCTTAAAGAGTCATCTTTGCCGCACCAATGGCTCCTGCCTGCTGCATGTGGTGCTCTGGGGGAGCACTTCACCCACAGCCAAGCTACTTTCAACGCCAGAGTTAGTCCATCCTTCATCTTTGTCAGGAGACTGAGGGTGACAGAGATGGGCCACTGTGTTTAACACTTTCTTCAACTGTTTTCATTATAAACAAATCAGTAAAATATAACCCGCTGCCACTAGGAATCCCTCGAGGAATGCTCCATAATGGAGACACTTCAAAATAACATTCTCATTATATTATAACATCAGTCTCCCTGCATGGAAACTTCATGAGAACAGCAGCACTCAAGGAGCCTCTCATCCCATCAAAGGCAGCAACCAAGGAAAACCCTTTGTAAAGACAGATCCCGTCAGGCAGCAGAGACAGTCGCCTGCAGTACTGCCCCTCAGGATGACGGCGGGCCTGACAAACCAAAGACTGGCCATAAACAGCAACCTAGGACTGTCCCCACATCAATATCGTTCAAGAATCTGTGTCACCTCATCTAGCTTGTGATATTACGATACAGAACTCTTGACAACAGAAGATT